TCAATATCACGGCAGGGGACACGCGAAACGGGCATCACACATTGTACCATCGTGAGGATTCGAACCCGGGTTTAACCTTTAACCACTAGGCTACTCAATCGCCCCCTCCAGACAGAGGCAAGTGGGAACCTACTCTAACACGAAACCCCACTGGGATGACATCAGTCACTAACCGCAGTACCCCGACCAATGAGTCACAACTGCATAGCATTTTTTTTTGACGACTTCACAACACGCACAAAGAGCTCGAGTCCATTTGTGCCAAATCACGGTTACTGGACAGAGAAAGTTATTCTTGCAAAATATGCCCAAGTTCGATAGCTTGATAAATCAGTCTTAATAAAGTTGATCAAAGGTCAAGTGACAGTGCCATAACTATCCTAAGACTGGTTGACAACAAATACCAGTGGATCTGAACAATATTCAGTCTGGAGACAGTTCATCTGTTAATGCACGACGGTTCAAGGAGAGGCCAAATCAAGGTTACATTGATTAGACTGAGTTGGCTATGTGTGAATGATAAATGTCACTACCACTGGTTTCTACTTAGAGATGAACTAAAGTGGTTTTAGGGTACGAGACAATAAAATATGTCAACGATAAGTAGGACAACACATCAAAGCCTCTTAGGGCCCACATTTAATTGTGTGTGTGTTCGTGTGTGTGTGTGCGTGCGTGCGTGCGTGTTTGCGTGTGTGTGTGAGAGAGAAAGAGAGAGAGAGAGAGCGTGCGATTCACATGCGGATATCTTATTTACAACATGTCACTTTGACAACACATCAAAGCCTCTTAGGGCCCACATTTAATCTTTGTGTGTGTGTGTGTGTGTGTGTGTGTGTGTGTGTGCGTGCGTGCGTGCGCGCGCGCACGCGTGTGTGTATGAGTGAGAGAGATTCACATGCGGTTATCTTATTTACAACCTGTCAGTTTTTCAACTCATTATATATCAAAATATTCTTTTAAGCCATTCCGCTTTGGAATATGTTGAGTCAGTTTCACATTCGTGTAAACATATATCACCAACGTCACCTACCAACGACATGTCATCAGTTTGTTGTTGACTGTTAAGGATAGGCTACTCGCCATGCGTCCTCTCTGTGATGTAAGTGTTCTCAGACATTTCAACCTTACGAGAAAGTACATCTGTATTTAGTCTCTGTGCTCAGATGTCCAGTGCGTGTTCCTCTAGCTCAAGGGCGTCACCCTTCAACATAAACATCAATACAGGGTCATGAGTCCTGCCTCGGTCAAGGTTCCTACCAAGACTCCCGCCAAGCCGTCGAGTAGAAAATCCAAAGGAAGCTAATTGATTATGAGGAACATCCACAAGACGCTGGATATCGGCTCCAAAATTAGACGATTTGCAAAGTTTTCCCGGAAATAATTACCTCACCGCGGCACACGCATTCAAATGTAACTAACATGGACAGCCAAATGTGTCCAATTGAGCACGTCTTGGTCTGTACTCTTGCATCCGTGTAGCGCGTGATCGAAATAACTTGCTAAATTTGTGTTTGATGCGTGAACATATTGAAAAGAAATTGAAATTAATATCATTTCGGTATCCGGTTGCGTTTTTTTGTATGAGACGGCACATGAGAAGGTTAGTGGGAGACACGTTCCTCCCTCCGCGTGAGACCAATTCCTGTCCACAGGGGTATAAAGAATAGCGTTCTATTTCTATTCTTTGCGTGCCTTTGTTATGATTTGTAATCAAGGGGTTTGAAGTGATTTGCTTTGCGTTATGGAAATCAATTCTGTATGACGAATGAAGGTGTGATACGAGAGCATATGTACTGGGTGCACTTATAGAGCAAACTTTACAGAGAAAGTGATAAATTTGGGTTTTACGCCGATTTCAACAGTGTTCAGTTATATTACGACTTCTCGACTTGTTGACGTGTTGGTTTCTTCACTTATTGACTTGTTGAATTATTTTTGGATTAAAACCAAAGTGACGTCGGACACCATGTTCATCCTTTTGGCGAAAACCATCAGCTTAGGTATGGATCAGACAGACAAAGGAATAGGGGCGTATTCGATATAAGAACCGGTGATCAAGGGATTCTGGCATCAATAAGAGGCGCGACTATTTCTGATGTTTTAGTTGCTATAACAGTAAGTATATATCTGATCTCATATTACTGTATTAGTTTCCCACTTTGTCCCTTGTTGCAATATTTTAAGGATTTCTCTCGTTGCATCATTTAAGGATTTCACTCACTGCATCATACAAGGGTTTCTCTCGTTGCATCATTCAAAGGTTTCTCTCGTATCGTTTAAAAGTCTCTCTCGTTGCATCATTCAAAGGTTTCTCTCGTTGTATCATTCAAGAATTTCTCTGGTTGCATCATTCAAAGGTTTCTCTCGTTGTATCATTCAAGGGTTTCTCTCGTTGCATCATTCAAAGGTTTCTCTCGTTGTATCATTCAAGAATTTCTCTCGTTGCAGCATTCAAAGGTTTCTCTCGTTGTATCATTCAAGGGTTTCTCTCGTTGCATCATTCATTCAAGAGTTTCTCTCGTTGCATCATTCAAAGGTTTCTCTCGTATCATACAAGGGTTTCTCTCGTTGCATCATTCAGAGGTTTGTCTCGTATCGTTTAAGAGTCTCTCTCGTTGCAGCATTCAAAGGTTTCTCTCGTTGTATCATTCAAGGGTTTCTCTCGTTGCAGCATTCAAAGGTTTCTCTTGTTTTATCATTCAAGAATTTCTCTCGTTGCATCATTCAAGGGTTTCTCTCGTATCATTCAAGAGTTTCTCTCGTTGCATCATTCAAAGGTTTCTCTCGTTGCATCATTCAAAGGTTTCTCTCGTATCATTCAAGAGTTTCTCTCGTTGCAGCATTCAAAGGTTTCTCTCGTTGCATCATTCAAAGGTTTCTCTCGTTGTATCATTCAAGAGTTTCTCTCGTTGCATCATTCAAGAATTTCTCTCGTTGCAGCATTCAAAGGATTCACTCGTTGCAGCATTCTAGGGTTTCTTACGTTGCAGCATTCAAGGGTTTCTCTCGTTGCAGCATTCAAGGGTTTCTCTCGTTGCAGCATTCAAAACTTCCCCTCGTTGCAGCATTCAAGGGTTTCTGTCGTTGCATCATTCAAAGAATTCACTCGTTGCATCATTCAAGGGTTTCTCTCGTTGTATCATTCAAGGGTTTCTCTCGTTGCATCATTCAAAGGTTTCTCTCGATGCATCATTCAAAGGTTTCTCTCGTTGTATCATTTAAGAGTTTCTCTCGTTGCATTCAAGAATTTCTCTCGTTGTATCATTCAAAGGTTTCTATCGTTGCATCATTCAAGGGTTTCTCTCGTTGCATCATTCAAGGGTATCTCTCGTTGCATCATTCAAGAGTTTCTCTCGTTGCATCATTCAAAGGATTCACTCGTTGCATCATTTTAGGGTTTCTCTCGTTGCATTATTCAAGGCTTTCTTTCGTCTCATCCTTCAAGGGTTTCTCTCGAGTTTGGTCCCCTAGGCGTGCCAGTAACGCATGATCGTGGGTTTGAATCCTGGGTCGCATTTTTCTAGGTTTTTCAACACTTTACCCGTGTCCGTGGGTTTCACCGAAGTGGTAAACGTGTGAGACCTGCATCACTTCGGGACCTCCTCCCACAACATGCTGGTACGCCGTGATATAACTGAAATACTGTTAAACCAAATTCACTCACTCACGACAGATTTAATTCTGAAAAGCAGTTTGTTGCTTTACACCGAGCACAGCATTAATCCAGTTATTTGAAAGCTGTCTGTAAAACGGGTCTACACCAGAAGAGAACTGTATTCCACTCAAGACTATGTACATAGTATGCTGGGGGTACCAGAACAGGATATTTGTTTTTGATGGCGACTATTTCACATGTGTTAAATGGGATTGTAACAAGAAGATCATTATATTATATAGAAATAAGTGTTTTTCTCAAATATTCAGATGTGTAGGAAATCCTATTAATGTCGGTAAAATAGCCACATAGAAATAAAGTTAAGTTGAATAAATAAATAAATATATATATATACACACACACACACACACACACACACACACACACACACACACACACAGAGTGCTGAACAATACAAATTATAACAGCAGCTGGGCTATTATAACTGTGGCCAGCAGCACGGAGTCATGTGCATGTCAGTGGCTCCTAATTAACACCAGAGAATGGCCGACTGGCCACTGAAGCTCAACATTGTGAATGAGGTGCGGGAAACTGCAGGCTGACCAGAGAGGTATCGTATTTTATACGTGGCAGCTGGTCAGTTAGAATACTTTTGTGGCAGGCTCAATTATGTACATAACTTTTAATTAAGATTTATTAGTTAGTAGTAACTGATTAGTTTATTACGATATTTACATGATAAGAAGATATTATTAGTTATAATATTAGTTATGTTTTATACCTTAGTATTTTATACCTTAAACATTCATTCCATAGCTCTGTAACATTAAGTAAGCCTACTCTCAGTCTAACTTCCACTAATTGTCACACTGCATGCTTTTGACTTGCAGCACTCTTTGCCCCAGCGCGCCCCGGCCCAGTCTATTGTCTTGTTGATAGGCCAAGCTGGCCACAGCTACAACAATGTTTGTTGTTGAATTTTTGAAAATGAGTTGCTATTTGTCACCTCAAGGAAACACCATAGACACAGCGAGATTTATTGCCGATTTCTTATCATGTGAGGATTTGGATTTGTGAAAGGATTTATTCATATTTGAGGTTAGTTGGTTATTTATTTTATGATGTTGTATATATGGATGTTTTCTAATTATTGTGATTAGAAATAATATATATTGTAGAATGCATTCTTTATTTGATTTATTAGAAACATAATGCATCTTGTATATATTTATAGTGCTTGACGAACTTACAGTTCAGTGAGTAATTATTATCTGTATAAAACAGTATTAAACACGAAACCTAAATATATATATAAACTAAGTAATATAAACCCCTCTGGACAGTAATGGAAAGTAAATGTATGTCTGTTTGCTTGATGTATGTTTGAAATGAGTGGCTGTTGTACTATATATTTTATACACTATTTTAACATAGGATATCACTTGTATATAGTATTCTGCATTTGTATTTCTTTATTATGCAGATTTCTCAGTAGCAACGTTCACCGTTCGATCATTGTCACGGTATTACCAGTTCAGGTATCACCTATCTGGTATGTAATGTTCGTCATCACTCTATATCATATTAATATATTTTGTATCTGTGTATTGATGTATTGTACATATACGTCTGATGTATTGTGTAATGTAAAGTAAATGCTATTCATTTTAATGGAAGTGATATATATATATATATATATATATATATATATATATATATATATATATATATATATATATATATATATATATTAGAAATTTAAAGAGTAACTATAACGGATTGTATATATTTATTTCTATGTTATATTTGCTTATGTTGTACTTTTATTGTTTCAGACTGAAATTAAGTACGTACATTCGTACTGATTATAAAATAAACGTCATCAGCCTCACCCCCGACAGCTGTTTGTGATTTATTTGGCCAGTAGAGCGCCTACTCCATTATCGGCCAACACAAGCACGGTTACACTTTCTGTTGGTGGGGACTTGAACCTCGGACAGCAGCTATGCAGGTTGGCCCTCTTACGCCTCCGAGATGCTGCCTGGCCATTGTTGTACTACTATGTAGTTATATATATAAACACCACGAATAAAGTGTTGTTTACTGAAACCTACGTTATCAACACACCACAAAACTAAAATGATAGTTGCACCAACAGGAAGTGACGTCAGCAGAAGAAACGTAGCCGATAATTATTATTTTGTGGTGTGTGGACCCACGGAAGGACTCCGTGTTTGAGTAACAGATATTCCGAACTCCGGCCCGGGATACAAGTGATAATCATGTTGTTTTCATAGATAACATTCAAACTTACCCGAGTTTTTGAATAATGTACAGAATCTTGCTTTCGTTGACCTGTCTATATTTGAATGTTTTTTTTGTATAAACAGGCCACGGTAACCTATATCAACGTGATCTTTAAGCCATTATAAAGGTTTGTTTATCCAAGATATTAGTTACCAGTTACTTAAAACAAATATTCTTAATGAAGCACATCCATCCACAAACAAGGGAGACAATTTGATAGAATACGTTCCTCCAGAATGTTATTACCCCGTCGAAAACATTGATATATAAAGATTTCTCCCCTTTTCTTCGTGCAACATATAAAAGGAGTACTCATTTTAAGGTCGAACATTTTTCTAAGAAGAAATGGACATTTTCAACATAGTTTCATAACCTCATACTTTTGAACCATACAACAAGATTGGTTCAACTAAAGTGTCAAATAATTTAAGTTGATTAGTTAAATTACAAATTATAATTTCTGCTTCTTGCTATCAAAATAGTGCATAGCTTTCATACCCTTTTCACACTATGCCTTTCTGATGTTCACTTGAGGGCCAGTCGTCTAAGGCGCCGCGATTCGCTGTGCAGAGTTGCGTACCTTGGGCACGCCAGAAACCTATGATTGTGGGTTCGAATCCCGGTTCTCCCCGATTATGTTTCTAGGTTTGTCAGAACCATACCAGTGCTCGTGGGTTTCACCGAAGTGGTAAACGTCTGAGACTTGCATCACTTCGGGCTTTCCTCCCATATTAAGCTGACACGCCATGATATAACTGGAATACTGTTAAAAGCGGCGTTAAACCAAACTCACTCACTAATGTTCTCTAAAATTGCATGTTTTACTGAAGGTAATTCCATGGAATCTGTATTTTGTGACACTCAAGGGCTACACTGTTTAACATTAATACTACCTTGCAATTGCTTTTTCGAACCTCCAAAGATACCAACCAAATCAGCGATTCTGACCACTCGATCCAATTGGTCGCCTCTTACGGTGAGATGAGGTGAAATATGGTTTAACGTCGCGTTCACAATTATTGCACTTACATAGCGCCCTGCATGTTCGTGTTTGTGTGTGACTGCTTGTACGAGTCCACTGAGATACCATTCCACACTATAACATGGATAGTCCCCTCATACACAGTACACAGACTCCGAACCAGCCAGTCCTTGTTTTATCCCATTAATGCCGAGTGTCAGGTAGGCCAATAACAAGGATAATCTCATAACGTCTTTGATATGACGCGGCCCGGGGAGATGCACAATCCACAAGACCACTGAGGCGGTCCGCCTTTCACGACCGGCAAGATCTTCTTAGGTCCCTTTAGCTTATTCTAATCGTGAAGAACAGGTCTTCAGCAACCAATGCTTGCCGTATTAGGCTACTATGCTTGTTGTAAGAGGCGACCAACAGGATCGGGTGGTCAGGTTCGCTGACTCGGTTGATGCATGTCATCCTATCCCAGTTGCGTGGAACGACGCTCATGAAGTCAATCACTGGATTGTCTAGACTTGTATTTACAAACCGCCGTCATATAGCTGGGATCACTTGCTGAGTGTGGCTTTAAACTTCAAACAAACAAAACAAGCAACTGTCTGCGTGTCATATCGCACCGCAACAGCAAGGGGGCTCTCATTTCGTCAAACATGTGTTTACCAGACCCAGACTCGATTAATTACAGGCCGCCGTTATACAGCTAAAATATGTTCGACCCTGGCGTCAAACAACATTCCCTCAATCAGACAGGGGGCGGTGGGTAGCCTAGTGGTTAGAGCGTTCGCTCGCCACGCAGAAGACCCGGGTTCGACTCCCACATGGATACAATATGTGGAGCCCATTTCTGGTGTCCCCCGCCGTGATATAGCTGGAATATTGCTATAAGCGGCGTAAATCCATACTCACTCAATCAATCAGACAGCTAGATCACGCGCCCGGTGCGTACAGCTGCACCTTGGTTGACCTGCTTACAAACCACTCCAGTGCGATAACAGGTTGGTAAATCTTAATATGCCCTACATACACAGTCGTGTCCTCATTTATCAGACGCCGATTCCTAAGAGGTAACTGACCTGTCATGACAAGACATCCTTTGGTAATGAAATCAGCATTTGCCCCACATCCCACGAACTGATACTTTCCCAGCGCAATTACAAAGTCCACGCATGGTGCGCAAGTGCCATTATCCGCGCATCGTCAGCAGCAAGGGTGACCTAATTAAGATGGCAGAAACCCGTACTGACGTCTGATCACCATTGTCTGGAGATATCTGGCAGCATAGTCCGACAGCGTGCTTTGAGCGTGATTGCTGCCATGCTTCACCACTGGGCGAGCTGGAGGACACAGATGCTATCGTCTTGAACAACTGTCTTTCCTAACAGTCAGACACTTCCCTTTCTTTGGAAATTCCGCCTGCATTAGATATTGACCGCCGTGGTGTCTTAAGACTGAAATAGTCTGGAAGAGGTAAGGTGAAATGGTGTTTAACATTGCGTCCGGGCTTGTGCCGTTTTTTTGTCCCAGCCACTGAGATACCACATCCCAATTTAACATAGACCCAGAAGACGCAATGTACCGACTCCGAGACGACCAGTCCTGTTTTATCCCCGTTAACAACAAGTACCATCTTTCAACGTCTTTTGGTATGACCCAACTTGGGTCTCTCCGGACAGCCGCTCCAGCCACTACACCACGGAGGCGGTTCTAGTCTGTGACAAGCGGCTTTAATCCTGACATCATTACAACATCCGGAACACGTTACATAAATTGTATCTGGAGCTGTATAATCTGTGAGATCAGTCATACATACACCAGAACTGGTTTTCTGATACTGTGAAACCTCAAAAATCCGGACCCGTTATTCCGTACGAATATACCGTGACCAGTACCGTCCAGATTATCGAGGTCTCGTTGTACGTAGTTTCTAAATATTCCTCATTTTCTGTTTAACCGCGTGATACAGTTGAGGATCATACTATTACGACGTTTTTGCGACAATGTAGTGAATAAATCCTCGATAAATGTACAGTCGGATTTTAAAGGTTTTACAAAAGATGGATTGTTGAATGAAACCGGAGAACAACTGATAATTACTGAAATGATCCCTTGGACAACACCAGAAACCATTTCTATTCAGCTTTGCTGTGAGAGTGTTTAACTCCACCAGGAAAAGGTTACATTCACCAAGGGACAGTTAATGATGACCAGTGCGTGCAAGGCCTCTATATCAAGGAAAATCGACAAAATAGAGACGTTTTAAAAATAATCTAACAGTATAAAGACAATTCATGGTCACTGACTCAGATAATTTTAATCCTTGGAGCATCGATTACCCATCCCTCGAAGGAAATGCCATTGGACTGAATGTGATGTTTATGAACACCGCCAATAGAAGCGACAGAATGTAGCAACCATTAAATATCCTCTATTTAACATAGGCTTGAAGAATCCATTATGCACGTCAAATATCGGTTTGATTGATTCAAATATATTTTATCGACAATCAATAGGAAAAATCTCCAGGAGGTTTATTGGCCCTTTTCTTTTCAAAAGTACAGTCTGATTAATACATCAATACATGACGATAAACAATATTATTCTAAGAAACATCATTGCAAGGAGACAGTAGCATGAACTAGTAAAATATTTTATTTGACAGGATATAATTAATTCATTGATAATGTCATCTGATCAAATAAATTTCGAAAACTGGGATAGCCTGGCGGTTTTCGAGTTATCAATATTTCACTGTATGTAGAAAACAGTGTAGATGGACAGTGTGTTCTTTTTTTCAAAACCTGGTAATTATAACCAGGGAGTCCATACACGATCTCCCCACAACTTAACCCTGTTCTTCGCAGCGCTGTCAATAAGCATTCGTCACCACTCGCCCCTTTCGGTAACCTACAAGAAGACCCGGAATAACACGAGTTGGTCACGAATGGTCAACAAGAAGACATGTTTAATGATCCATGTGAGCAGTCTCCTTACAACATCATTATTCACAACGAGACATACAGGCGTGACAGGCCGCACACAACTCCACACATCTGGTGTTAAATACTTCCGGTATGCGTCGTACGAGGCAGTATTGACAAGCGCACTTCCGTTTAAAGAAGACGGGTGTAAGATGTGTATTTCTGTCACGGCGGCAGTAGGGGTTATCCACACAAGGAAAAATAGCTTCACAAATCCACAAATGACGTCCTTTGCGTTCCCCCAAGAGACACATATTGCACGAACCCTATTAGACTGTAGAGGTGGAGGCCTGTAATTGAGTGTGATGGAGAACCCGCGACGTTCCTGTCGGAGAAGCTGTAATCAAGATTAATGCTGTATCAGCTCGGTGTTGGTTTGGCACATGTAACCCGTGGATGGACTGCATAACGTAGGTCCTCCACGAAAACCTGTATTGTCGACCATTGTAATGAAAACATTCAGGTCCACAGAGCTTATTCTAACAGTGAAGAATAGGTCTTCAGCAACCAATGCGTTCCGTAAGAGGCGACTATGCTTGTCGTAAAAGGCGACCGGCAGGTTGGAGGGGTCAGGCTCGCTGACTTGGTAGAGGCATGTCATCGTATCCCATTTTCGTAGATCTATGCTCAC